ATTAGCCAGACAACTAACTTCCCCACTAGCCATACTTAGAAATAAATTAATTGAATCAGTCACATGCATAAATATAATTCCATTCATTCAAGTAATCAATTCGAAAAATAATGTCCATATAATAATTACCCAAAGTTCAAAACAAACCAAACCAAACAAATAATTCCAATACTTAGAAAAATTGTCTGAAAATTAAACCATAAACCTAGAAATTAAAGAGGGGGGGGTTCGGCCACTAGGGGTATAACACCCTAAAAACATGTCTAAAATTTATTCTTCCATAGGAGCGGATACCTCCTAAAAATCAAAAACCTTCATGGATGTGGTAGCATTTTCGGGATGTTTCACATGCACAAAGTTAGTATCACGACAGGAATGATACTTGGCAATGGCCTCAGGGGTAGCTCGGCATACGTATAACCAATGATCATTTGATCCACATCGGTAACACATGTCCATTTCGATGGAATCCGATTGAACAATAGCTTTTCCCTTGTTCTTGAAGTTTGGGGCCTTCGGGACAAGGGGTTGGCGCTTCTGGGTCAAGTTTCCTCCCTTGGATGGGCTTCTATTTGGTGGACCTTGGGCTCGTGGTGGGGCCTTGCAGTCATTTTTTACGGCCACGATGGGGTTTCCGTCAGTTGTGGCTGCTAGAATTTGTCGCATACGCTTCAAGCGGTGCGTTCGAGCCAGTAGGTCGAGCTTGATGATTTTTCATTAAAAGATGGTTCTTCTTTTCAGCGAAAAGTAGAACATATATCAAATCTGAAAATTTAGTGAACTTCTGTGCCCTATATTGTTGCTGCAGGACAATATTGATGGCTTTGAAAGTCGAATAGGTCTTCTCTAGGAGATCCTGTTTGGTTAAGTCCTCTTGACAGAACTTAAGTAATGATCGGATTCTACAAATTTCAGAGTTGGATTCATTCACAGACTTAAAGTCTTGGAAGTGTAGATGCTGCCAGTCATGTCTTGCTTCAGGCAAGAATATGTCTTTCTGGTGATCGAAGCGATCCGCTAGGGTGAGCCAGAGGATACGGGGATACTCTTTTGCAAGGTACTTGGTTTGCAGTGCATCATGGATGTGTTTTCAGATGAAGATCATAGCAGTAGCTTTCTGAGCTTCGTCTACGGGTTGATCGTCGATTGCTTCCTCGATAGAAGCTCTAAGATTTTTTGCAGTAACATTGAGTTTCACGTGTTGAACCTACTTCAGGTAGTTTCTTCCAGAGACTTCTAGAGTGGTGAAATCGAACTTGTTTGACATGTCCCTAAATAGAGGGTACAACAAAACGTGGTTAGTCATATGGAAAGCCATAGATATATATCGTAGAACATTCAGGTTCTATAGACATGTATTGGTTTAATTTAGGAATAAAAGCTACAGGCTTCATGTGGTAAGTTTTGAATGAAAATTTCGGGTTTCAGCGGCACTAAATTTGAAACTACAAGTTCGATTTAGTTATGAAGGTTTAGTTCATATATAGGGATACCTGCAAGAACACAGAATACAATATACAATAAAGTGAAGTGGATTTAGTCCAGGGTTTTAAGCCCGTGTCAAGGACAAGCCTAGCATGGCTTCAGGCATGCAGTTGTGGGTTCGGGTTTGGACCGGGGGTTGTAGGCCCGTGTGGTAATCAACCCAAATCGAAGTCTGGATGGGTCCGAGAGAGGTAGCAAGGCCAGAAGGCTGCGCACAAGGTCCAGGGCGTGAAGTACCTTGGTAGGATTCCCTTTGAAATATATTTTAGGATCCGAATCTTCTAGTTTTTAACTATTTTTTCAAAGAGTTTCATTACAAAGAATCACTCAAATTCGAAATTATTTATTCACTCAACTAAATGATTGTTATTTTAGGTTCCGATAATTAAAATACAATTGAGAGTGTATCTCACAAGATATCCTCAAATACACTTGTTTAAGGAATTTCTTAATAGGTGGCATGTATCTTGAACTTCTCCTTTTAAAGGTACAATGTTTAATTGATAAAGAAAAACCGTACAAGAGGATTGGCTGCTTGTGCAGCCTTATTAAAATTTTGCCAAGGGTTTTTACCCCAATCAAAGGTAAAAGGGAAATTTTATTTAAACCCATCTAACTTCTTTCTACACCCAACTTAAATTTTAAATATTAATTGTCTATTTTACCCTATTGCATAATTACTATTAAGTACAAAATGAAATTAATAATAAAAATCAAATTTAACTAAACCCTAGCATCACTCTTTGTTTATCCTACGTTCATCCGACTAAAACACTAATAGCTCTGATAGAAAAAAACAAGCTTTTCTATTGATGGATGGTGATTTTGAAGTTTTTAATCCTCTAACTAAGGTATGACTCGATTTATAGATATTTTGTTTGTTTGCTTCTTCTTTGGATTAAATTTCATACTTTTTATATTATATTGTATTTGTTTCTCTATGTCATCTGTATGCGCCCCAAAACACCAATGCAAGGACTTTTGATTAGTATTGCAAAGATATAAAACTTGATTCTTGGTGAAAATAAAGATTGCTCAACCTTAACCACGAACTGGCGAGTGGCATGTCTTGTACCTTTTTTATTTGAAATAGCTCCAATTTGTTTATTTGTTTATTAACATAGCAGTAAAACACCCAGCCCTATGTCACTTCAAAGTTTCTTAAAATGTACATGAAAATGCTCGATTTAAAGAGGATTGAACTGGAGCTTGCATAACATTCTCTTGGCAAATTCAAGTCTATGGAATGATCTCTTTGATCCCAAGTCCATGGATGGGTTGTGGTAGCAGAGCAAAAAAAAAAAAAAAAAAAAAAAAAGAAGCAACCATGGAAGTGCTAGTCCTATACGGCAGATGCAATTATAGGGGGCAAAGGACGCCTTTAAAAGAAAAAAAAAACATTCAATTAGAGATGTTATTTTATAAAGAGAATGGGTGTAAAGATAATTTTACATTTTGAATTGGATTTGAGAGGTTAGTTTAGGTAATAAATTTGGGTTTAAAGAGATATTAATTCTTTAATAAAAAACAATATGGGTGAAGAGAGTAAGTTGGGTGTAGAAAGAGGTTAGATGGGTTCAAATAAAAATTCCCAAGGTAAAATAGTACATACCTCATAACAAAAACCAATTGTTATGCTTTTAGAAAAATAAAACTAAATATTCGGTTGTGTTGTAGTCTCATTGGATTAGGAATATGATTGTGTAAATCCTAGTGTATCTAGAAGCATCTTGTATATTCCCTTTAGTAGTTTAATTCCTATTAGAGATGTAATCCTATTAGGGTAAATATTCTACTTATCCTACTACTATAAATAAATGCATAAGGGGTGATACAACACATACCTCAAAATTAAATCTCTCTCCTCTCTCTGTTGCTGTCGGCCCCTCTCCCTCTCTGTCCTTTATACATTTCAGTCAAATAGGCCGACAACACGTTATCAGCACGCTCTTGCCAGAAGCTAAGGAACTGAAGAATCGTAGGAGGAGGCTCTCTTCTACCAATTCAAAGGCTTTCAATTGTTTTTCTGCCAATCAGGTTCTTCTAAAATAATTAAGATATTTGAAAAAATCTTGAAGGATGAAAACATTCCCCATGATGCATGAATCCCTATATTTATATTTTCCTTTCAATTATATATATTGTATATATGTTCATATATTTTGTCAATATATATACTTGTTCATGCATTACACATTTATGCTATGTGGAATTGTGAGTCAAAGTATCGAAATTAATTTAAAAGCAATTAAGGATTTTTAATCCTAGAATTCAAAAAATAAAAATAAAAATAAAAATAAATAAATAAATAAAAATTGGGATTCAATATTCCTCAACCAAATTTCTATTTTAAACATGTTTTGTTTTTGTCCTTTTTAATTTAGAGGGAAGTTATGTCTTTCTGGAAATAGACACAGCTGTGATTAGACTTTCAAAACTGTTTCTTCGCATACATTAGCTGCAGTTAACAACCCAATACCTCCAATCACACCCCTAAACTTTTTATTTGCTTTGTATACAATTTTTCTTTTTCTTTTCTTCTTCTTCTTCTTCTTCTTCTTTTTTTTTTCTTTTTTTTTTTTGAACCAATTTTCGCACATAACTAAATACAAACATGAAATACCCCCACACTTATTCTTTTGCCAAACTCCTTCAAAGTACTTCACGAACATTTCACATAAGACAATTTCACATTGCTCACTAGTTAGCTTGGAAAGGGTAAGAAAAAATGTTTAAGGTATAAGGACAGACATATTTGGTGATAAGAAATAAAAGGCTCAACATATACGGCTCAAATTGACAATCTAATGATATCATTTTTCTTTAGGAAACATGCTTATTTGGGCCATGGTGATAAACCTAATGCCTCTATCCTTTTCAAGTTCATGCAATCAATGACAAACATTTCGAAAGATCGTTACGCAAGTTCTAGAGATGTAAGTCACATAAGTTCATCACACATGAAAGAATATGAGTGTATGAAAAATGCACACACTTTCAATAGGCTCAAAAACTCACATAGGTTGTATATGGTCACTATGTTCACATATGAAGCTTTCAATCATGCTTTAGTTTCACATCAACAAGGCTATGTGCTTTTGGTTTTTCAAAGATGATTAAACATGTACAAGGCTAACAAGAGAATAAGGAATTTCACACAATACATGCTTACTAAGTTCTTGATCACCGTGGTTCAAATTCAATCCAATTATATCATTGGGTCGAGAAACTAACAAAAATCTAATTCAAAACAATAAATAAAACAAGACAATATTTTTGGATTTTCAAATTTTTTGAATGTTTTTCTCTTCTTTTGGGTTGTTTTTATTTATTTTTTATTTTTTTTAGGGTAAACAAAACTAATTAAGAAAACAAAAGGTAACAACAAGGAAACAAATTAAACCAATTCTTAGTCAAAGGGACAAAAATTTTCAATTTGGTCATTTTTTCAATCCTTACCCCCAAACTAAAACTGGACATTGTGACGCACCCCGTCCCGAAGGAGGGCATGCTGGCCGTCACGTGAGAGTGACGTAATCATTTACACAGTACGGAAGCTTTAAAGATACAATTTCTAAAATGAAACACCCAAAGGTGAGTCCTAATTTTTGTCTATTCTGTCAGAACACCGCTGGATTCCTCGTAGCCACCAAGCTCTGATATCTTAAACCTGGAGGGGCGCAAAACAAAGTTGAGTGGGTCAGCAAAACAAACTTATTCAAAACCTTCTTTTCTCTTTTGAATATACTAACCCCTCGTCGTAAAACAAATATAGTTTCCCAGAAAATAAACATATATACGTATGTATAAATATGCCAAATATGCTCAAGGGTATATCAATCATGCTCAAGAATGTGCCATGTCAAAGCCTCATAATGATATGCAAGTGCTCAGGTATAAATCACATCAATAGCATAACATCTGGCAGCCGGAGTCACCTAACGTGACCTGTACGGCTGCATTTAGAGCTCAAATCTCAAACTCAATAACTGAACAACTGAACAACTGAACCTGCCCACGAGTTGGAACCACCTAAAGTGGTCTGTACGACAGGACTGGGTGTAACATATATATACGCTCTAGTGCTACGATCACGTGAAGGCTGTGCGAATAATCGCGGGTCACCTACGAGTCGGAACCACCTAATGTGGTCTGTACGACAGGCCTGTGCACCTAGCTTGGATCCAAGCTGAGCATGAGGTGCGGGAGGTGAACATCACGTGAAGGACTGTGCCCTGCTCAGGGCGGGAGCATTAACACCGGGGGTGCAGGTTATGAGCTCTCTAAGCACCTCTAATCACATCTCTATCATATCATTCTTCATAACTCAATCATATCTCATGATCGTTATCAGCATAATATCTCAATCGTATCTTAATTATATCTCAATCATATTTCAATCATATCACAATCGTATAATTCATCATATTTCAATCATATCCCAATCATATTCCAATCCTATCTCAATCATATTTCAATTGTATTTCCATAGTATTTCAATCGTATTCCAAACGTATTTCATACGTATATCAAATGTATATCAAATGTAGCTTACCTGGGCCTCCTCAGCACCATGCAACAGTATGCATAATTATGATAATGCACATATTAAAATATGATGCATATATGACAGGATATTTAATTCGTATTTCTTTTAAAATACGTTTTCTAGGAAATACGTCAAGCATACGTATATATATACTGAAAAATAACTGCCCACTCACTGATAAGTAGCCGGCTCGTAACCCTCACGCTTAGTTTGGTTACATTCGTCGTTCGTACAAGTTTCACCTATAAAAGAATAATTATAAAATCATCATTTAAACGCACACACAAACATGCGTCAATAACTTTCTCATACGTTGCTCAATTTGGGGGTGTGAATATACCACGGTGATCTACACGACGTCACGAACACGTGACAATTTTTAGAACTCAATTTGGAGCTCTCACGCGCCCTCACGCGCCCTGTACACGCGCTACCCAAGCGCGCGTCTTCTTCCTCGCGTCGCCGGACTGGTTTCGCCGGAGGTGGGTGTTTTGCCGGAATTTCTGGGTAAACTTCAAAGTGTCATAACTTCTTCATTTCTTAACCATTTTCGACGTACTTTATATCAAAATGAAGGTATTGACGAGACGAACACATCCATACCTGCCTTGACCCCTAACTCGCCGTGGATTCGCTGGAAAAAGCCTCGAAAGCTCCGGCCAAACTTTGAACCAAGCTTTCCCGACGTCCAAACTCGTCCAACGAAGCACTCCGAGGCTCCTTGGGACCTCACTAAGACATCTACGACCTTAAAAAACACAAAAACATGCTAGATTAAGTTTGCATGAATAGTGTTCAAATCGGATTACCTCGAATCGACGTGAAAACGAAGGATTTCTCACCTGAAAATGGTATGGTTGCACTCGTACGAGCTTCACGAGTTCAAAAATTCCCTTGGTTTCCTCGATCCACTAAGGATTGGGTGATTTTGTGTGTTGTCCGTACGTTACAGAGAGAAGAGGAAGGAATGGAGCTCGGGGGGGGGGGGGAGAGACAGGGAAGAGACAGAGGGAAAGGGAGAGTGACAGTGTCTGTAAGTGTGTGTGTGTGGTCCAACACATGCCACACCACACAAAACAACCCATAACGTGACAAAAACATATTAGGGGCAAAGTCGTAATTTCACACGTGCGTTTCGATATTTCCGGGACGGGATGTCACACATTGTCCCCAATGTCAGAAAACACAATAATGCATAAAATAAAAATAAAATAAAATAATAAGAAACAAAATAAAGCATTTGGACTGAAAACTTCTCCAATTTGTAGTAAAAGCAAATGATGACCCCCAAACTTCAATTCTGCAATCAACTCCAAGGCTGAACATAACCAAATGTTCTTGAAAATAACCGAAGGCGAGAATTAAATGGAAGAACTTTTTGTCCAATGACAAAGCTCTTCCTCAAGATCATCTTGTCATGAAATGCCTTTGATTTCTTGAAGCTTTTGAAGTGTTTGTTCAAGCTCAGGATCGTAGGAAGCTAGGTCAATGCTCTTGGACCTTCGAGTATGCATATACTACGAAGAGTACCTGAATACAAAAAGAAAAAAAAAACAAAAACACTAATTAGACAAGAAAAGAAAACAATAGAAAAATAAATAATTAGAAATAACAATCCCCGGCGACACGGCGCCAAAAATTTGATAGGATTAAAAGCACACCACAAAGTAGCACACAAATGTCCTATTGATTTTCCTTATTAACACTAAGATTTTTCAATTGTAGCATATGAAAATAAGGGTCTTTCCCGCAGAAGATTGTTTTATCTAACTACTTAAAATGTCACAAAAACTGGGTTGTTGTCCCTACTGACCAGCCACCAGAAAATAATTATTAGACTGACTTACACTTATCTAAAGTCTACGAAATTTTATATGCAGATACTAGACACACCGAGCTACACTCACACAAATGTTTGAGATTTTTGGAGTTGATTTGCTATTTAAATTAAATAGAACGAAAACAGAACAAAAACAGATTTTAAGTAGTTCGCAAATTAAGAAAAACGAGTTAGGGGAATCGCTATCCACCACCAAATAATCATGCAAACATGTTATGTTTCATTCAAATTCCTTCTATTTCTGGATGAAGATGCTCAAGTTGGCTCAATGTTAGAACTCAACCTATTACTCTTTCTTATGTAGTATGTTAAGAGAATGGCGTTTTCAACTTAACTTGGTCCCTAACATGCAATCTAGAATGGTGTGTTCATAGATTTAACAAGTAGAAATCATTAAGAACGAAAAGAGTTTGAGTCATCACAAGGCATCGTAAGTACTGCCGTTGTCTTACTTATCCTAGAAATTGGTTCACATGTTAATCGCAATTAACAAGTACTACTCTAGAACATATGTAGGTCCTCATTTGACAAGGGCAGGCACACACATATTCATAACATTAGAATCCTAAATATGCTTACTAAGTATGCATCCGTAGAAAACACAAAGAATTCATCAATGAGACAAGTAGTGAACCAATTTTCATCCATTATAAAAGTAATTCAAATGAAATGTCATAACAAACTTGCAATCATATTCGGGGCTTCAAACAGCCCCTAACCACTAAAAATTTAGTTACACAATCCTTAAGTTAAAACAAAAGATAGACATGAGTTTGAGAAAATAGAACCGAAAGAAATCGCCTGAGGCTTCCCTCCTCCTTCCTTCCCCAATGCTACTTTTAAACCAATTCTTGCTGCATCATTTTCTTCTCCTTAACTCACCCACTAATAGCCATTTAGTGATGACAATAAGTGAGAGGAAATGTAAAACAATTGTAACTCCTTGGGCAGCCTTTATGCCAATTACTCCCTCTTAATCCTCATCTTTAATTCCATTTCCTCTTATATTTGAATAGGTGTCAGCTGGTTTGTTCTTGATTGCATCAGTTTTGGCTACTAGATTTATTGGATTTATTGCTTTCAATGCTTTCTTGTCAGTTACAAACTGCTCAGCCTCTTGGGAACCTTTCAGTGTTGAAACAGCCATAACTTCTTCTAGAAAAATGATATTAACAATCCGCGAAATGCTTCAGAAAATAGACATCCGTAGCTTTCTAAGCATATAAGGCTCATTCTCTAATTCATTCTGAGCTGTCCGCAACTCGCTTCCAAAGTCAGCTGACCTGCACAGGCAGTTTTGACGAATTTGTTACTTAAAATTCCACTTGTGTTATTTTTCTTTTCTTTACTTGACAAATCCTACAAAACACAAAAACAAAGTAAATAACTCAAAAATATAAGGAACTAACTAAGAAAAGACAAGTGAATTTGATATAAAATTTATATAAATATGAACTTATCATGGTTCTTGGCAAACGGAAACTCAGTTTTCCTACCAACTTTAAATTTTACAAGTATGTAAAGCTCAAAACAAGAAACAACTTTTTACCTACCACGAAGTCAAATAATAGAAATTTTTTCAGAATCGATTCGCTGCATATAGTGGTCCAACGAGGATGGGGTCAGATTTTACTCCTGGGATGATGGACTATAATAACCAGGTAGTGGCATTGGTTGTAGTTAGCCAATTCGCCAATTCGCCAGAAAAAGAGGAAAGGTAGTTGGAATCGCAATAGGCGTACTGGTAACTGTAGACCTCTGAAACCTTAGGATTTTGAGGCCTCGCACTGCCACGTGTTGTGGTTTATCAAGGTGGTTCTTATGTAAGCTTTGTAGAGGAATTTGAGACCTTCAAGACGGTGGTGATAACATCGACCAATTCCACCAAAGATGGTCAGAATTCGCGTCGAAAATTTGCGAAGGTCGTAGGTCAGTGGGTATGGATTTTTGGGTCGGTGCTATATTAGTTGGGTTTTCAGAAATGGAAATATTCTATTTTTCGAAATCTCTAGGTTTCCCAAAAAGGAAACTTTCTATTTATAGTAAGTGCAATATGGCCAGAATGCCCCTCACTTTCAAGGCTCGCAACTTCATTGTTCAAATGGTTTTTGCCTAAACTTTCGTGACACCAAACTTTATCCATCTATTCTAAACGCACCTCCAAATCTATCAAAGTGAATTTAAGATGATCAAAACGCCTCTGAAATTATTTTTTCCAAAATTATAAAATAAATAAATTTAGAACGGGATGTCAAAACTATTTAGTTATGGACAATACTTGGGTAACCAATTTGCAGTGACCAATTACGTGGCTCAACAGGCTTATTACATATGTCATGTAACAATTCTCCCAAGCATTAGCTATCAGTACAACCAAACACTGCATCTCACCGGCCATCAATCTCTCCCTTCGTTTGCCGACCCTGACCCCAACCTCGCATAATCCCTCTCTTCTCCTGCAACCATCTCCAATATGCCTTCTTTCTCCACTTTTGTTGATGCCATGGTAGATCCGGCCGTCAAGGGTTCATCGTCTGCCCAACCAACCATATCTCTCTCAGCAACACCTATGGAAGATGGAGGAAGAAAAAAGGTGTTTTGTCACGTGTAAAAAGGGTTTTTGGTTACAGAGATAGCAAAATGTTGGAAGAGAATTAAGATGAAAGATGTTTTAAGATTATTGGACCAAAAAACAACAAACTTGGGTTTTTCAAGAGTTTTTCAGTGTGACTAGAACACGGGATGGTACACCATATGTCACTATACTAATGGTGGAATATGTGTGCTAAAAAGTTAAGAACTTGGCCTTTATATAAAAACATTTGGTATACCACCCATGTTTCCGTCACAACAAAAAATTTCTCGTACTAACAGTACCCAAATATTATCCTTTAGTTATTATACACTAGGGCTTCTTTATTCTTCGATTATGCATCTACTTCATGCTTGTTAGTACTTATAAGTGGCGTTTCTTTGAGAATGCAAATTGTTAATAGTTTAGCTGTTGGCAACCTCTAGTTGGATGCAGTCAAACAATTAAGGTGCTAGCAACCTAGCTAGTCATATATATGCAATCTTATCTTTACATTTCTTTAATACAAATATATTGGAGATGAGAGAAATTGAACTCAAGACTTGAACTTAGCTAACAAGCGCCGTACATCTTAAGCAAGGATTAATAGTATTCCAAGTTGTGATAACACACTAATTATAGTATTCTATATTGTATTCAAACTATAGACATCTTGAAACTTGTTCCATCAAATATGGAGTAGTGCCAAATGACTTGGATATACAATTTATTATTATTCTGGACTTTTCCCTAAATACCATTAGTTAAATAATTGGATAAATCAAAGGAAGAAATTAAAAAATTAAACTCAATAAAAAAAGATTACCAGATATTGTTATTACTATTGTAGGCTTATTTAACTTTTCTATCTAAGGAATAGAGAGAGGGAGGCCGGTGGTAGTGAGAGCGATAGGATAGAGATTCAATTATGAGGTGTGTGTTGTATCACCCCCATTGTGCCTTTATTTATAGTAGTAGGATAAGTAAAATCCTTACCCTTTTAGGATTACAACTCTTAATAAGTAATCAACTCCTAATAGGAATATAAGAGATATTCCTAGATCTACTAGGATTTACAGAATCACATTCCTATTCTAAATATGGCTGCAACATTCCCCTTTGAGTGTGTAAATACTCAATAAACTATCACATTAGATCTTCAGCAGATAAGGTGGGATAGTTGATTAAGTCATTGGCACAACAGGTGAATGCGAGTCTCAAATTTAATGAAAGTATGCATTGGTAGTAAAAC